AGTGTGAGATAATTTTGATCTTGCTGATGATCTGGACTTAGAGAGGTTACAGCTATATTCTAGTGAAGTTTCAGAAGAAACAGGCTCTGTGTAACCACCTGCATATTATACAAATGACTGTTGATCTGCAACAGTGTCCACTATGCTTAATATGCATAGTATTACTTCTGATTTTCACAATGAAGTAATGGTTAAGGAATTCATTGGGGACAAGTATTATCTCATATACTTGAAAAAGAGTATTGTGGAAGATCGAGGCTATGGATTAAACAAAAGACTTGCATCTCACATATGACAAAAAATAATGGGGATTCCTTTGTTTATGGTAATGTGATTATAACCAAGAGACTGATATCAGTATGGAACTTGACAATTACAATTAATTGAGTGAAAAATACAGATACCGTAAAGTCTGGAAAGATAGCATCCCTTTTTACATATGTGTAACATTTTTTTTATATTGACGCTCAATTGTTTTAAAGTAAGGGGTGCTATCTTTCCAGACTTTACGGTATGTGAACTTGTTATTTTTCGTGAATGAAACAAAAAAATATGATATTAATATTAATATCAATCGGTCAGGACATGTGACCACATGTGATTGGTGCAATAAAACAATTTTTGCTTAAATTATTCTTCAAAATGCTACTAATAATAAAGTATCTAATTTCGAATGGTGTAGATCAAAAGAAAACACTCAAATGCTGTACACACAGTCTATGGGGGATTGTTGTTGACATGCTGTCAAGCAGATTTTTGATGATAACACTACTCAAGAATTTCCATCCCTGACTGAAGCACAACGCATAACTAGGATTAAAAGCCAAGGTATTAGTTCAGTATGTTGATGACTTTGAACTCATACTGGAGGGTGTCATTGGGAGTATGTGAGCACAATATCACATAATAATCATGAAGATTCTTCACAGTAGTGTAGACCATCAGAGTTATGTTCGTTTAATTCGTTTAATTCGTTTTATTCATTTTATTCATTTAATTCGTTTTATTCAAGTAAACCTTATTTGAATAGAAATCTAACTGCTGCTCAAGATTATGATATTATTTTAGTACAAAGAGTTTTAGAAATATTTAATCAATAACTTAATTACAACATAAAAAAGAGTTATTGGTTTATTAAACTAAGCCAATAATTAACAATAATTTTAAAAGAATATCTGATAAATGTTGGCACTTTCAACATTTACTAATAGGCTTTTAGACTATATGATAAAAATACTAAGAATATTATTAACTTATCAGTATGCCAATACCTTGATTATTTTTTTAAAGAATAATCAGATTCTGATATTTGCTGATACCCCAATACCCAAGTTGGCATCATTTGACCAGTAAAAAGAGAGCCAATAGATTATATATAAGCAAAGAAAGATGGGACCCTAAATTAGCACAAAAGAATTTTAAAACATAACAGCTTGATAGCTTGATTGACATAGTGATGCAGTCTTGGATTTCCATGCAATTTTTTTATTGTATATTTTAAATATAATTAATCATGTCTTTAACAAAACAAACATGACTTAGCTATTTAATCATTTCCTTGTATGTGAATGCCTCCATCCATCAAATATTCATGATGGCCTTCAATACATTTGATATCATCATTGACATAACAAACAATTGCATCACCCAAGTAGTAATGATACCAAGGTCATGCATAAACGAAGCTTTTAATAATGCCTGTCTAACCAGATCTCTGGGATTCACAAAATAAATTATGGTTCCTTATGAATAATAAATCTGATGTTGATCACAGGTGTCAGATTTAATTGAAATTTTCCTATCACCAGCATGCAAGACTGTGCAATTAAGCACAATTCAGCACTATGGATTTTTTCCACAGGTGAAACAGACTTAAACATGTTGGAAGGCTTTGGACAAAACTTTTCCCTTATCTCTCCTCTAAGACCAGGCTTGGCTGTTACCATATGGGCATTGATTGCTGATGAGAGTTGACATTTATGATGCTTGCTTTGTGTTATTGCCACACTAGCATAAAAGTTGGCACCTGCAACTGGTTGAAAATTCTGCAATTCGGGAGGTTGCAACCTGGGTCATTGTTTTGGTTTTTCCCCGAATTCAGAGTTTTGAGTCCTGGTTGCTGTAATTTTTATGAAAAGAAAAGTATTAATATTTAGCAATTAATTATTTAAATGTTTATTTTGTTGAAAAAAATATACATTGATAGTGTACATTTTCTGTGCTTAACATCCAT